GAGTTGCGCAGTATTGGTTTGTTTATTGCAAAAGTTATAAGAAAGAAGTATCTTCCATTCGGAATTTAACCCGCGCACATAAAAACTAAAGCATGATCTGCCACTTTACCAGTGCGGTTATTGCCCCAATCCTCAACACCACACATAACATCCTTATGGCTATCATAGGAGACCTTGGATTCTATCGATACTTCATCTCACATTAAAATACATACTTTTTCTTTGTCAGACATTTTTGAACATATGTTTTTCAAATGTCTCAAAATAAAAGTGCTGAAACCAACGAAAATGGATACGAGGGTAGTTTGATAAGTCAGTGACTTTTTTAATAAAAGATATTTTTTTCGGCAAATAAGCGTTTTATTTCTCAACGTAGTCTCCTTTTAGCTCGATACATTTAGTCCACCGTTTTTCCAATTTTTTTATTCCTTCCAAATAATAGGTTTTCTCAAGGCCCTCAAAATAGGCGTTTGTTTCAGTGATGACCTCTTCATTCGACCCAAATCTCTTACCGCCCAGCCATTTCTTTAGGTTTGGAAACAGGAAATAGTCGCAGGGAGCTAAATCTGGTGAATATGCTGCATAGGGTAGCAGTTCGTAGCCCAATTTATGGATTTTTGCCATGGTGATTACACACGTGTGCACCCGTGCATTGTCCTGATGGAACAGCACTTTTTTCTTCGCCAAATGCGGTCATTTTTGCTTCAAATCAATATCGAATCTGTCCAAAAGCTCTGAATAATATTCACCGGTGATCGTTTTACCCTTTTCAAGGTAATCGATGTGAATGATACCGCGTGCATCCCAAACAACTGTGGCCATGACCTTGTTGGCCGACAGACCCACCTTGGCCTTCTTTGGTGCACGTTCACCCGAAGAAACCCACAGTCTTGATTGTTCCTTGGTCTCTGGTGTGGTGTGATGGATCCATGTTTCGTCTATGGTAACGAAACGGCGCAAAAACTCGTTCGGATTGCGGCTGAACATCGCCAAACACTCCTTTGAAATGGTCACACGGTTGCGCTTATGGTCGAGTGTGAGCAATCGCGGCACCCATCGCGCGGATAGCTTTTTCATGTCCAAATATTCATGTAAAATGTGATGTACCCGCTCAGTTGAGATGCCTACAGCCTCAGCTACTTCACGCACTTTCATTCTCCGATCGTCCAATATCATTCCATGGATTTTATCGACGATTTCTGGCGTGACGACCTCTTTTGGGCGACCTGAACGTTCGGCGTCACTTGTGCTGGTACGACCACAACGGAACTCAGTAAACCACTTCTTAACCATTGAAATTGATGGTGCAGAGTCCCCATAGTATTTATCAAGCTTTGCCTTGGTTTCTGTGATGGTTTTTTTACGCAAAAAATAATGCTTAATCAGCACACGAAATTCACTTTTTTCCATTTTCGTTAAAATTCACGAGGTTGTCTGCTTTCAATGGCTGTCAAACACTAACTAAATGGCGCAGCTTGCCCAAACTTGTACAGTAGTCTATTAATAGATGGCAGTTGACGGGAGCAGTGCTGCATTTAAAGTTACTGCGCAGAAAATTCAAAAAGTCACTGACTTATCAAACTGCCCTCGTATCTTCAGCAATACCGACTGCAAGGTTTGGATCGATGGTAAATGTTTAAAAATATTACTCAAACACTTATACGCTTTCTTGCCCATTGTTTTATACAACGTTAAGGCTACGGCCTTATGATTGGCTTCATAACGGTGTCCTTGTGATATGTTTTAAAAATGTTAGTAAGAAATTCACGTATCGATATAAACTAAATAAATTAAATTTAATGTAAGTTCCAAAAATCATGCAAAATTCCTGTATATTCAATTGTTTGTTTATGATTCAGCAGGTAGAAATGGAGAAAAATGATATAAAAAGAAAATAAATATTTGCTTCAGATCACACAGCGTTCGCAAAGCCACAGTTGTTATTGACTTATTCGCAACGTTTTGCGGATAGATATATTCTGATTTTACTATAAGAAAGGATAGCTCAGTTCCAAGTTGCTTTTTCAAAGATATTACTATAGCAATAACAAATGTTTCCATAAAATAGTATACACATGCAGAGGGGAAAGGAAATAAAAATAAAGCTATATTAGTGAATTACTTTGGTACAAATAAATGTTTGTAACAACTCATTAACCTTTATTAGTAGAATTCTTGTAGCATGCTTCTCTCTGTTATCACATTCACCTACATGCATTCATTCACACAAAATAATTATACAATAATATATCGATAAAAACATCACCTTATGCAGCAATAGGCTGTCTGTGTACGATTCATGCATACAGGGTGTTTGAAAGCTTATCATACAGACGAAAGTTGGAGATAGATTGGGTGTAGCCGAGAAGAAAAGTCATGTACCATAATGTCAAATTGGCAATAGTTATCGAGTTATTAATTGAAACATGTGAACCAATGAGCGCGTAGAGAGCGCTAGGCGGCCGCCTTTTGTCGCTTACGATATTTTTTTTTGGTAACGCAGGGGAAATCCATCATGGATACCCCCGACCCATTGGGGATTGCAACCTTACAGCCTTATTCTTACAGCTAATGTAGACGAGCCTTTAGGCTCGGTTCCACAACTTACTGTAAACGAAGTTTAACTCGTTAACCCTAGTTTAGACGAAAAATTGCGTTCCACAGCTGCCTTAAACTATGGTTAACGTTGATTTCTCACAGTTGAAGTTAAACCCAAAACTTTGGGCGTTTAATGAATTTAAACGAAGTTTAACACTGCAGTACCATCAATTTGAGAAAAAAATTTGACTATCCCGGTTTTGGAGTTCAGTTGACAAATATTTTGAACGTTTGAACATTAAAGAGATATGGCTTTAGAATACATATTATCTTCATCTAAAGATGAAGATTTTGAAAACCTAATTTATCGACGGGCAAGAAATATAAGAATAAGACAACCATCATATTTGGAAGAATTTGATAATGTCGATTTTCATGCACGATTTAGATTATCAAAAGAATCTGTTATTGCAGTTCTAGCAGAAATCGAGCATGAAATTTCTCATAAAACAGAACAGTAAGTATATAAATTTAATTAAAAATATTGGGTTCTTTGCTTCGATAGATTATATTCTAAAACAGAGTATAAAACTATATATAAAAGTCAATTATTGTATGATAAATGCAATCAAACCAATAATATAAACTAATTGATTATTATTAACACTGGACTTCCACCTTTTAATAAATTAATACTTATATACAAATACAGCAAATATTAATGTTGGTTAGTGTTTACTTCATACGAAACAGATATATTGTTCTCTACTATATGTCATAGCATCCAACTTATTTCAATTTTCCCTCTTTTCACTATTAGCAACAACCAATCATACTCTACGTTTGAAAAGAAAGAGAAGTCTTTGATAGTTTCTTCATACAGACTACAGGTTTAAGTAAACTATAGTTAAAAACATGATGTGGAACGCGATATAAGTTTAACCATGCCGTTAAGTGTAACGTCAGTTCAGATAATCACGGTTTAAACTTGATTTTGTGGAACTGGGCCTAAAACCTCTGCAGGATGTCTACCATTCGGACCGTGGTGGGGGGAGTCAGGAGAACGGCTCCCGCATTCCCTCCCCGACTATCGCTTGCGCTCGCTCGCTCGTCGTTCGCACTCGCTCGCTCCTCGTCGCGCGCGCTCGCCTCTTGTCGCTTACAGTTGCCCATCACCGCACACGCTCGTCTATCGACGCTCGTTGACTCCGCCTATACCAAATGTCTACGTGTTTACCGCGGCCGCCCAGCGATCTCTACGCGCTCATTGGCTCACATGTTTTAATTAATATCTCGGTAACTATTGCCAATTTGACATTATGGTACATGACTTTTCTTCTCGGGTACACCCAATCTATCTCCAACTTTCGTCTGTATGATAAGCTTTCAAACACCCTGTATAATAGAAATATCCTATCAAAAAATTGCGCTATCAAAAAATGAGATTAGAAGAAATGTTTCGTACTTTATATATTGTCTTTCTATTCTTTCCATTTAACAGTTCTCCAAGACTTGTATATATATGAAGATATAAAGCAACCTTCCGTGATATTAAATATTGCTATTAGGATCCATTATGAAAATTGTTTAATATGTTATTGAAAAATATTTTGCTTTGCACACATTTCAACTACATTTCACACTATCATACTTGTCATATAAACATCACACAAAAAAATGTTTCACACGGAAGTTTTCTTTTATTGAATTATCAAATAAAAATTTATATATAACTTTTCATTAAAAAATATAAAGAGTAAAGCCTCATCCCACTTACACAACCATTGTTTAAAAATCAACTTGCACTCCAGTTTCGATTATGTTTCAAAATACTACTCGACAGGTACAGTTGAAGTAATCATTTAGCATAAACAAGGCAAAATTGTCTTTATCATGACTGGTAAATTCAATACTACTGTACGAGTATGATTTTGTACTCGTAGCCTTAAAGAACCTTAAGCTATATAGAATTCTATTACATGGTTAATTATGTTAAGTAAATATTGCAATGACTAAACTAAGTAAAGAAAGCCCTATCAGTTTGACACTTTTATTAATAAATAATGAATGGAATGACTAACAAAACTAACGTTCATATATAGAATTTTAGTTTGTCAATGATCAAAAAATGTAATAGAACATAAAATTATCTATAAATATTAATGTTAATTTTTATGAGATATTAGGTAATATCAGTTGTACCAGTAATTGAAGTGAAAAATAAATTATGCTCCAATTACTGAATAATATTGACTCATAAATGAAATAGATTAAATAATAGTGCAAATTTTGATACAAAGAAATATCTCTTAACAACATTTCAAAGGCCTTTTTACAGAAATATTAAATATAAGTATATTATTAAAATTTCAATCATTGGGATAATGTTTAATTAGTGGGATATTTATCTTTGTTAAGTGGGTGAAGCACTATATATATATATATATATAATTTATATAATTATATAATTTATTCTCAAATTCAAATGTGTATATGTGTTCGTTCACAGAACAGAACCACAATCTCGTGTTATTAAATAATATAAATATACTTTTTTACATATAACGGCGTAAAATCTAAAAGTACATAATATTTACAATATATATTTATATCACAATACTTCAAAACTCACACTACAGCGCGGCATGATTGCTAATAATATTAACATATTTGTCATGATTCAGATATTTTTCATACATTTTTAATTCTTGTTTTAAGTGAAATAAAAATATACAATACAAAATATAGTAGAATACACCTAGAGGCGCATGCAACGATTCATAATTTAGATTAATTTACACTTAATCGCAAAGAGGATCAGAATCTTATAATATCGAGTCGTGCTACGGTCATGTAATCGTGAAAATTGTGAAATCAGTCTTCGAATTAGCGATTCCAGAAACCACCAGATTACTATCAGCTGCAGATGTACAGAATAGTAATCGTTCGTTCAACCGTCAAATATGCAGTTTAATTTACTCACTCTGGATAGCACGAAATAGCACCGAAGCTTACAATTAACTATCAACAAGTTACTTGACTTCAAGTTACCTAATCTTTCTAACATCGAATTCGTAGAGTTCTTACGAAATACGGAAGTCATTTTCGAATCCATTGTGGTAGAAAAGTGAAAATTTCACGACGATCGGTATTTCGAGAATATGGATTTAATAATTCTTAGAAAGAGCGATTTTCCTCCATTTGTGATTTGTCTCATTTTTCACATGTCCAAATTCGAACCTAATCCTAAGTTCACCTATCTTCGATATTGGTAGAATATCTGGTATCCATTCTATCAAAAATGGTGTAGGATCAACTTGATTCGGAGAAGTATTTCCTGAAAGTAAAAGAAGAAAACATATTTAAAAAATTATATAAATATGGGTATATGCGTATATGTGTGTATGTATGTGTATAAATTAAAATGTGAAATATATATGTGTGTGATTATTTTATCCTTTTTTAAAATAAAACATTGTTTTTCAAATAAATGCGTATACGCGATATTTTCTTGATATATGAAAGATAACATAAATTGATATAATACAGAACATATATACGGAGATAAGTATATATATACTTACCCACTTTCAAGTACGTTTTCAACTCCAACGGTTTAATCAACGCGTTATTATTCGTCTTCTTATAGCGATCTATCTCCGTCTCTTCGCGTTTGTATAATTCGTACGTGCCGTCTGCATTCTGCACGAAGCTTCTAGTGATCTCCAAAGGTATATATGATGTTTCGAAAATGCTCTTTACGTGTAGGATATTAGTGATTTGCCACGTATACTTGGTGAACGTACCCAAAGGGACCCCGTCTTTCCTTACGAACGCTGTCGTCGAGTTCGGTAGACGTTTCTTTTTGCCGCCGCATGATATCCGTTCTCGCAGGCAATCGAAAAATATTTGCGGCACGTGAAATACCAGAGGATCCGGCTTGCCATCAAACTGGAAATGCATCGTCTGATTAATTCGCTCGGTAATGGATGCGAGCCATTTGATAAACGGCAGATTCGTGTTGGCCTCGTCGAGATCATCGTGACACGCGTTTTGGTATTTTTTGATAATTTGTGACTTCGTCTTCGTTTTCCTAGGCTCGATCGAGTTCAGACTCAGATTGTTAACAGACGTCGACTTCTCATCCCTCTTCCGTTTGCTCGAGACCACCGGTTGTGTTGTCGCGCTGATCTCGTTTTTATCGATTATTTTGATGCCATTGTTCAGAACAGTACTATTGTCGACGACCTTTGTGTTCATACTCAACATAGCATTCGTGTCCAGTACTTTCAATGTGCTTGCATCTAGTATTTTTATATTATTATCGTTTAATATATATTGACTATTGTTGAGAATATTATACTTAGTATCGATTGTCGCTTGGTCGTCCAATATTTTTATGGTATTTCCATCTAGTTGAACGCTATTTTGATCGATCACTTCCAAATTATGAACCTATATGACATACAGGAATTGTAATTATTATCAATACTTACATCTGTAACTTCGAAAGGAACAAATACTGACATCCTATTTAACTCAATGATGTACAAATATTCAGTGCTGCTCACCTGCGATATAATATTGTTATCATCCAGTAAATTGTGATCGCATTCTACTTCTATGTTTTCGACGATACCGTGTGATAAAATCGAGGAGTCTAAATTCATAGAGTCTAGGTCAAGCCTATTACCATCTAAGCTCTGCACAGTTAAAGTATCGTCGCGAAAAATCAAGAGATGCGTATCAGTATCATCCGTAGTTAAACTATCTAGATCTGAAATATCGTGTTGATTATTGCTAAGGGGATGAATTCGATAAATATCGTACAATAAATATGGACGTACAAAGTGTACTGATATAATTGGAAATTAACACATCATGTTATCAGTATAATGTGAAAATTATTCTGTTCTTTATTAAACAATCGGAATAAGAAAAATAGACTATCCTCTTGCATGATACACATGTTGTTTAACAGTTTTATAATAATTAAAGATTGAGAAAATTGTAGAATTTAGAAATAGATTGTAATGTACAATTTAAATAATAATTAAATATTTGAGAATGAGAAAATAAAAATTATATAAAAACAAGAATTTAGACAAAAGGATTTAAAGAGGGAATGATTTGTAATTCAGAAATTAAATTCACTATTTATAGTTTAGACAAATTAAAAAATTTGGACTTTAGACAATATAAATATCAATATATATATATATATATATATCTGATATATATATATATATATATATATCATAAATTCTAGATTTCAGATTTTAGAATTTAGATTTTAAGTTTCAAATTTAAAGGAGGGGATTAGAAATCTTACCAATTCCAATGATTTTATCTTTGTCGTTATGTGCCATGGTCATCACAGGTTTCGGTATAGTGGACTGTGTTTGATCTAGATTAATATAATAACTAAACTCTTCCGATAACTTTGTATCACTAGCGAAAGCACAAACACATGCGTAGAAGTGTACGCAACGCTTCGGCTGCAACGATGAAGTGCTGTCTACTTTGTCCTCAACCACAGTACCCTTCACTGTACTTTTGAATGTAGTACAACTGCAGAAGTAACGATGCTCAATTCTGTCCTTCATTTTAGTGACAAAAAAAGAGAAGTGAAGATAGCCCAATGGATGCTTAGGGGAAGCTTTACATTTCACTGCCATTATGTTTTTGGAAACTCTTTGCACCATGGGACCAGAAGTTTCTGTCGCTAACAGCCATATCTCTTGCTTAGTCTCATTATTCATATTGAATGATGACAAGATGGAATTCTTTAAAGTTAATGGCTGTGCTTCAGAATAACACCTTAATGCTGCTTGAATATGCTGACATGTCGATATTGACATATCTGAATAATTTTTCTCCTGGAAAAATCATATAGTTACAGAACTGTCATATAAGTAACTTTTATGTAACTTTACAAGATACTTACATGGCATTTGAGTACACTAGTGTCAAAACTTCTCTCACAACTGTCAACAAAGCATAATGCAGTTGTTTGTGACATAAATGTTGTAATATCATTTGAAATAGTAGCATTTATCAGTGGTAATTGTACAAATCCACGATAGTCAGGACCCTTATCTCTTACTCGTACAGAAAACACTTGTACTGTAGAACCTGTGATCAGCTTACATGCCTCTGTAGACAATTTGCGTTTCTCACCCGGCTTATTGAACACAGTGGCGCATAATTTGTTCTTGCAGCAGAGTCCACGTGAGCCATTGTATGTACCACATTTCGGACACTTTCGAACTCCACGCAGAGTAGCCTTTCCCAGATCCGACAAGAGCTTCCTCAGACGTTCTTCATTGGACATAGCTGCTACGAATTATATAGATATATACATATATTTATAAATATTTGTTACAGACATATATTTATTATATACACATAATATTTTTAGACATTTATTATAAACATTTGAAAATCTATATAATCCATCAGGTAAAATCGCGATCTGATTCATTTTAATCGATCATCAATTAATGACATTATACGTCTGTATAAAGATATAACAGTTATGATAATGATTGTTTATCATAGAAATCGTTGCATTGAGTTATAATGTGAGAATTATAAATTTTCATTCGTGTCGACATTTTCACTGAGAGTGCACTCGGAATTAAACTTGGCGTAATCTAATACCATTATTATCGAAGCGTAATATACAAAACGTATTCTGATTACGATGTGTGTTAAATATTACCGGCGATGTTACCTTCTAATGTCCCAGCGACAATACGATAATTACAGTCGTCAAAAAAATACGTGCCTCTTGTGACAATCTATTAAGGAGCAGTCTGCCTCCGATAGTAAATAAATAAAGCCCAATGTGACGTCAAATGCTGCAAGTAGAGGGCGCTAGTTATGTCTTCGACGAGGCAATATCAGAAAGAAACCTGAGAGCGGCCACCGGGCGAAAGCATATGTCTGTCCTGATACGCCCCCTGAGAAAATAGACGTCAACTAACTCGATGTCTCGTTCGATCGTCGGTAACGATACAAGGTTTGTGTCTGATTTGAGTCTGGTTAATGTCCGAGCTACTAAAACAGATTATAGTGAAAATGATATATACAGGGTGTTTGATAGCTGATCATGCAGACGAAAGTTGGAGATAGATTGGGTGTAGTCGAGAAGAAAAGTCATGTACCATAATGTCAAATTGGCAATAGTTATTAATTAAAACATGTGAGCCAACGAGCGCGTAGAGAGCGGAGGGTGGCCGCAGTAAGCACGTAGACATTTGATACAGGCGGAGTCAGAGACTGTCGGTAGGCAAACGCGCGCGGCGAGGGGCAACGTAAGCGACAAAAGGTGATCGCGCGCGACGAGGAGCGAGCGAGCTTTTTCTTTATAGGTTTTTCCTTATAGCTCGCTCGCTCCTCGTCGTTCGCGCTCGCTCGCTCTTCGTCGCGCTCGCTCGCCTCTTGTCGCTTGTGCTCGCTCGCTCCTCGTCGAGCGCGTTCGCCTCTTGTTGTTTACGTTGCCCCTCGCCGCGCGCGCTCGCCTATCGCCACTCGCTGACTCCGCCTGTATCAAATGTCTATGTGCTTACTGCGGTCGCCCTCCGCTCTCTACGCGCTCGTTGGCTCACATGTTTTAATTAATAACTCGATAACTATTGCCAATTTGACATTATGGTACATGACTTTTCTTCTCGGCTACACCCAATCTATCTCCAATTTTCGTCTGCATGATCAGCTATCAAACACCCTGTATATAGAATCATATATAAAAGTATTTTAATGTCATATACAATTAATATCATATATATAACCAGAATTTATTATATTAATTATATACCAGATATCGAATTTGTTCAGATATAAAGAATTATTTTTTTCCAGGATTGGATCAACATAAAGATATATTGGGTAATATTGCGGTAACTAAATATTTTTCTAAAGAGAATTAATTATTTGTAAATATTAAAAGTATTAGAAATAAATGTTGTACTAAAAATAACACGTTATAGAATATTTGATAGTAAATTATATAAAGATATGTGAGGTAATATATATTACAGTAACTAAATATTATTCTAAAGAAAAACAGTGCTTTTTTGTGAACATTAAAAATGTTAGAAATAAATGTTGTATTAAAAATAACATATTATAGAATATTTGATAATAAATTATGTATCTCTATATATCCCTATATGTCAAAAATAAAGCGTCACTATTCTATTTTTGTCATCTTGCATTGTACTGTAAGAGTTCGCAGAAGGCGAACCGCCTTGGAGCACGGTACGAAGGCGTGATCCGGGAGCGCAAGGCGGGAAGGAAAAGCAGGGGATAAAAAGGAGAAATTTTGCGGTCTATAAAGAGACAGTAGCCGGTAAAAAGAGTCGACAGTCGATTAAGAGCGAATAGTCGGTATAATTATAATAAGAGAGTTATTGTATGTAAATGTCAGTCTGTGTTGTTATTAAATACATTTTTATTAAACTTTAGTACTGACTTTATTAAAGAATCGGAACCTTACAAAAGGAAGTTATCCTATAGATATATTTAGATTTATCAGAAGTGAAACGGAGGGAATCTTATAGTACTTTCTCACTTATTGCATTATATAAATAATCCCATGTGGGATAATCATAGTCCTATCATTGCATGACTCTATTGCAGTCTTAAGATTGTTGCATAATAACCAATGATCTGTAACTCGCCGGCAGTAGGCAACGAAATGATTAGGGGTATAACCAATGATACCTGCTAATCTAAAAATTGAAAGACTAATTAATATTACGTTTTCTCTAATTAATTACATGCTGTGCATACAGTACCTATATTTTCTTTCCAAGTGTAGAACAATCGGCGACATAATAGAGAACTGAAGGAAAGTCTTCATAAACATTCAATAATCATTACATTTTTAGGTATATTATTAAGCATTCTATTGCATTTATTGCCAGAATATTTTTAGCATTCTTACAATTTAATATTATGTATTACAGAAAATTTGACACATCAAAGAAACGTTCAAAACATGATGAAGAATCCAACATTTTGGGCAAGATCCGATTTTAATTCCTCCTTAAAAAGGAAAGAAGAAATATTACAAAACATTTGGGCCAAAATTGATGAAAGCAAAGATTTAGATTTACTATTAATTTTGTACGAACTATCAAAATTAATAGGAAAAGAGGAAATAAACGCATAACATACCATGTTCTTACTTTCTATTGTCTTTGTGATCCTTGACTTCTTGTGATTCTTGCATCTTCCATTTATATGATTTTTATTTTTCATTTTACTGTAGTTGTCTTCTTTAAGGACCGATCCTCAATTTTTGGGAAAAAGTTCATCATTCTTGACCGTAAATCACAATAACTTTATTTGCAGAGGCAAACATAGGCAAAACACCCTGTTTCCTAAAAGATAAGAATATATCAGTCAGTATGCTACATGATAAAGTGATAAAAAAATTTCGAGTACAGCTGTCAAAAGTATTGATGATATGACAGTAAACATCAATGTTACGAACCTATTCTTAGTTTGATGCATTAATTTGTCATCACACTGCTAGTAACACATCTTACTCTGATATTTGACGTTAGAATGTGATTTAACTTTTGCTTACTGGGACACATTCAAGGACACAGTAACCTCAGACTTTGGTAATCTTAATTTATAGGAAAGTGGCCTCCAACTATTAATATTCTGCAAGAACTTGGATAGCTGGGAAGCTGAAACAAAAAATTAATCGAAAGAAAGAATCGGTTCAACATCTATCATTGCTGACTATACATAGATACTTAATCTTTTATTTTATGTGAATATTAATTACTTATCTGATATGTATTTCTTTATTGCAATAGTGGAAAATTTATGCCAATGCGAAGAACCAAGTCACAACCATGACCGATAATTTACTGAAGCATGCCAAAACACTGAAAAACTCAAATTATTTATTTACATTTAATAATTATTTATCTAGTTACACATATACATATATATGCATGTATACACACACACATATATATATAATATATATATATATTTATTTATTTATTATGTTTTTTACCTTATTGACTTTATGTTCCCACTCATCTCATTTATTTTGTTATACGCACTTTATGTTTTCACTTATGTCATTTTTATTTAATATTATAAAGTATTTTACATTTATAACTTGACAATACATGATATTTGACACACGTGCGTACATCTGTCAAAAAGTTTGCGCAAACTAACAGCTTACCACTTAAACAATATTACTAACCTTTAGGAATTAAAACTATGTCGTCTAGAAGTTGATATCAACCTTGTCTCCGCCATTTTTCGGGAAACTGTCGCGTTACCGAAGGCGACGATATTTCTTCTGATAGCCTCAGGAAGCGGCGACACACGATGACTTCGAGACGATGTTGGAGTAATAGGGATAATAGAGTTTATGAACGGTGAAGTGGCAATCTGCTGCGATATCTGTAAATTGAAATTATATTATAGTTGCATCTTTCTAACTACAGTTATGTATCATATATGTTTAAGTAAATGAATTAAAAGTTACATTGTATTAATGTCTCAATTTCCCACAGTAAATACAATACACATGTCATATTCATAGTGGCATAGCAAATTGTAGCATCGATACATTGTAACTCTTAGTAATTGCTGGGATGAGACAGGAAAATTAGAGAAATCTGGATAAAAATATTTACCTGTGTCTCTTCGTTCTTCGGTAATGGATTCGTCGTGACATCTGTGATGACCTAACCATGTAAAATGTCCAGAGGACACCGTAAATTCGACACAGAGTATCAGTCTATGCCCAGAAGTCGAAATTATTTGCCCATTTTAACCGATTTTTGGGAGCTACGCCTATTTCTCTTGTCTCTCTGTTCGTCCAAAAGTCCCTACAAATGACGGTCACGCCGCCCAGGTATAAGCTGTCATGTATCATTTGCAAGAATCTTCGGAAAGAAAAGAGAAGAGAAGTAGGCGTAGCCTTAAAAAATCGGCTAAATCGGGCAAGTAATGCGGGAAGCACACACTTTTGCATAATGCATAACGCATAAGGAAATGGACCAATCAGAGTCTTTCAAGCGTGGCATAAGAATATTTCTGTTTTAATAAATAAACATCAGAAACATATGGAACCATTTAACATAAAAAAAAGCTAAACGTGAACAAATATTTACAATAAATTAAATATGTAAAAAATATATAGTATAAAATTATTTATAAATACAATACTAGAATCTAAAATATAATAGTATATATATTTTTACATAATTTAGCACTATATATTTCAGATATACAATCATTGCGAAACGTGTATTAATATCACAGGTCTACGAGGTTTTGTTGTTGGGCTGCTGGGGGTCGTTTCCCAAGTAATTTTCTACGTAGAATCCGAATCCGATGTCAGAATTGGCCCATCACGTCAGGATTTTGAGATATTTGAAGTTATATACTCGAAAAATGGCTTTTTGGGCTACTTTTGAGGTTATGTATAGGACGTACAAAATTTTTTAGCTCTTTTCTTTTAATTACATCATTTAGTACTACTCTTTCCCTTCAAAATGAGCTGTCGAATTGTCATCTACGATTTTTCCTTGCAAAGTGACGGCCATTTTAAGATAACATGATGAATTCCAAACCCTGCGCCGTTATAGCCCAACAACCTCATGAGCATTCACATTAAACCTGTAAACTTTGAACTATAAACCCGAACATCTGGACTGAAAACTGTATATATGGGTTTTTGGGGTCGCTGATTACGAATCTGATCTCAGATCGACCCTAAATAATAATAATAATAATAATAATAATAGGTTTGGGGGGTAATGTGGGGATATCAGGCAGGTATAAAATATATCGGGCCACTGCAGATCCTCTCCACTGGCAAAAACTGAGAATTTTGATCTTACATATGTATCTCGGAGGCCTTAAAAGCTCGTATAAACTTTGTCCGATCCAAAAATATTCAACATTTTACAGGTTTTATACATTTGACAAATTTGCGCCTCTGCCATTTTGAATTGAGGGCTTAATTTAAAAAACGGGCTCGATACGATTATAGAGCAATTCATCGCGAGTAAATTAAAAAAAAAAGCATGGACATCGGTGAAGAATTACGCCGTCTAGCGATTTTTGTCCATAAAAAGACCCATTTGTCCCACTGTGCGACGCTCCGTGCACGACTTCTCCGGTTCGAACAGGCGGGACGCCAGGACCCTCAGCCGCCGTCATCGGCGGAGGACGCGATGCGCCCGCCACTTCCGGGGAATGACGTTGCGGGGGAAGCTAGAGGAGCCAGAGTTCGCCGAACGAACCATTCTCGAGTCGGGGAGGTTAGCTTCCGACACCTTGAAAGTGCCGACGGTGCGAGTATCGTCGCCGTACCGTGCCGCCGCCGCCGTTATCGCTGCCGCCGGAGGAGATACCTCCTCTTTTCGTATCGCCAGCGTTTCCGAGGCCATCGACTCGAGGGCCGAAAATACGCCCGAGTCATCCCGTGATATCGGACAGCGACGTATACAACGTCATGCGTCGCTGGAATATAAGCTTTTCAGGAGCGCGGGGGACCGACGTTGAGACGTTCCTCCTGAGAATTTCGGAGGGGCGTGACGTAGTACCGATTGCCGATGAGGATCTATTCAAGTGCTTGCCGTTTTTCCTCACCGGCATTGCCTTGCAATGGTACCGAATCAAGTGGTCTCGCTGGGTTTCGTGGCGCGATTTCGAGGTAGCAATGCACGCAAGATTTGGGGAGCCCGATTTCCAGTTCGCGTTGCGCGATGAGATTATGAGGCGCACGCAGGGGGAACAGGAGCCCGTCGCCGATTATCTCACGTGCATTCTCGGGCTGTTCGGTCAGCTCGACCCCCCCTGGAGTGAAGTCGAGCAGATGAATTACCCGCACCAAAATATGCTCCCGAGATTGCAGATTGCCGTATATCGCGACGATTTCGAGAGTTTCGATGCGTTGGAGAGGCTCGCCACGCGCGTCGAGCGAAGCTACGCGGCCGCGAGCTAGTATCGTGCATCGCCGCCTCCCGAGAGACCCGTGTGTCCGGATCTTGCCTACCGGCCGCCGCCGCGCTCGTCTCGACCGTCTCCGACGATGACGGCCGAGCAATTACCGAATTCCCGAGTCACGGAGCACGAGGCAGTTCGTGAGCAAGAGCGTCCGCGCGCCGCGGAGGCGACGCGTCGACTGGCCCCGGTGAGAGAGGATCGCGGGGCGACCCCTCGAGCCGGGGGCGCGGGGGCGGAGGCACGAAGAAGTACTCGGCAGGAAACTGCCGGGGAATCTGCCTCTGGACCGGCCACGCGTAGCGGTTCCGACAAATGTTGGAATTGCGACGCGGCCGGTCATTTGGCGCGCGAATGTCGCGAGCCTCCGCGCATCCACTGTTATCGCTGCGGTAGAGCGCAGCAGACAGTGCGGACGTGTCCCTCGTGCGCGGGAAACGGGTGAAGGAGACGATAGAAAAGGTCCCTACGTCTCCTCCCGATTCTGAGACCCGCGATAATATACAGAAGGTGGCGAGCTCGTATGGAGCGCTCCAGGGGAGCGGGCGAGCATCCCTGCGTTTTTTAGAGATTATGGTTGGTGAATACCCCCTGCTCGGATTGGTCGATACCGGTTCGGATAGAACCCTTTTTGGTGCTGAGGGTATCGACGCAGTCCGTGAGCAGGGGATATCGTTTTCGCGTATCGTGCCTTCCCGAATCCGTCTGGCGGACGGAACGCAGACTACGCTCGGCGGGTCAGCGGACGTGGAGCTCGAGTTGCACGGACGCAAAGAGACGCTCGCTATTGGCTTTTTACCGAATCTCGCAATGCCGGCCATCCTGGAGATGGACTTTCTCGTGAGATTTCGCTTGGTTGTCGATTTCGCCCAGGGCGAATGGAGTTTCGCGGATGACGTCATGAGCCGCCACCCTTTCTGTAACGAGCGCGGACAACAGAGCTTTTGTTGCGGGGTCTCGGAACTGTCGCGAGAGCAGGAAAACAAGCTCACCAAATTTATCGCAGATACCGTACCGATCGCTGCCGAAAATCCCGGCGTCACGTCACTAACCGAGCATAAGATCGACGTCGGGACGCATTTACCGATTCGGCAGCGATGTTATTTAGTGTCGCCCAAAGTGCAAGAGGCGATTCGTGGGGAAGTGGACATTATGCTCAGGGCCGGAATTATCGAGCCCTCCGGTAGCGAGTGATCAAATCCGGTAGTAATGGTAAAGAAACCGAGTGGCAAGTATCGCTTTTGTATCGATTTCCGGAAAGTAAACAACATCGCGAAGAAGGACGCGTACCCGTTACCGAATATGACGGGAATTCTCGATAAGTTACGGTTTGCGCGCTACATCTCGATTATTGACTTGAGCCAGGCTTATTTCCAGATACCGCTGGCAAAAGAGAGTCGAGAAATTACCGCTTTTTCCGTACCGGGCAAAGGCCACTACCACTTTACGCGAATGCCGTACGGATTATCGGGGGCTCCGGCCACATTTCAACGGTTACTTGACAAGTTAATCGAGCCGGAAATGGAACCCCATGCATTCGCGTATTTAGACGATATCGTGGTAGTCACCGAGACATTCGAAGAACATCTCGAATGGTTATCGCGCGTTCTCGCGAAAATTAGATCGGCCGGACTTACCGTGAATTTAGAGAAATGCGAGTTTTGCCGCTCGGAAGTTAAGTATCTCGGATTTTTTGTGTATCGCTACGGTTTGAAAGTAGACGACGAGAAAGTTTAGCCGCTTCCCGAATACCCGGCGCCGACCAATGTAAAGCAATTATACCGCTTTTTAGGGATGGCG